GGAAAGTATTATTATTATTATTATTATTATTATTATTATTATTATTAATAATAATAATAAATAAATCCTTGCTCTATTCAGTATTATGCCTGTGTGCTTAAGTCATTAGTTTGCTGCTGTGGAAAACGACACGTGACATTACTATGGTAGGTCCCTCACCTTTGGACTTGTCGTATCTTGATCACTAGCAAGATTTTAAAAGCTACTGTCAACTTTAGTATCCATGTCCAGCCCCGCAGGTGTGGCCCCATCGGTTTAGTGCTCTCTCTTTGGTATATCAACAAACTCAGAGAGGGGGCACTGGAAATTTCTGGAGTGACGGTTAAATCATTAATGCAGCTTGGGGGGTGGGTGGGAGGAACAGCCAGTTTCCCAACAGCCTTGCATTCCACCTTGTGATGCAGAATCATAAATACTGCAGGATTAGCCTGTTTCACTCTATTTGCACTTGCACTTTCAGACCGAGCAGGACTACCTTTAGTTTCCTCGAGTCCCGTGGCAAAAACGAGGCAGAATAATCCCATTACTCACCTTTATTTTCCCTGTAGTCAAAATAGCATATTGTACAAAAGCCTTCATTCTGGGGAGTGCCGAAAAAGCTGCAGCCGGGTTTCCGGCATTTACTGCTCCCCTTCCGCTCTTCAGTCCTCTGAGGTGGCCCATGTGGCAGCTCCACCACATTGCTGCGACTTGTTGCGTGGCAGGCATGCTGAAGCAGGCTCTGTGATAGGTGGGAAGGATCAGAGGACGATCTCTGATGGCCGGAACTGGCATGCGGCAAACAGTCTCTAGCCCTTTTGAAACAAGCACTGCACATGCCGTTGAAAGTCCTATTGGTACCCTTGAGGCAGTACGTACAGGTCACACAGTCTGAATGTTGGGGCTCTTCTGGGTCACTGCAAGGTCTGAGCTCTCCAGAGCTGTGGCAGCGTTCGCAGAGTCCATTGTATTGCACATTCATTGTGAAAGGACAGTCTGGGGTCCTGCACTTCATTGCAGTGGTTTCACTGTACAGGAAAAGGCTTGGTGCTGTAGGGGGCGCTGAGCGAGGCCCTGTTCCTGGGTCCACTGATGACCGTACAACAGGGTCATGGAGCTCACCCTCAGGCGAACCGGTTCTAGTTCCCTGGAATTTCTCAGAGCCTGCTCGGAAGTTCTGCCTTCTTAGCTTTTTCCCCTTCTTCCTCTGTTCAAAGCATTCGTGGCAGTAGGGCTGGGTACTCACAGACATGTAAAAGGGGCAATTTGGAGTTTCACATTTCACTTCCACAAGTGAAAGCTGGGAAAGGGACATCTCCAACCTGTTCCTGGCACATGCCTCCCTCCCAACTGGCTCCACATTTTCTTGCCACTTCTTGTATTCATGCTGCACCAGCTGAAAGTAATCTTCTACTAGATTGATGTTTTTGGGCAAGTTGCCTTCATCCAACCTTCAAGAGAAGGAAACAAGGAATTGGCATTGCTTGATTGTGAGAAGGCAACAAACAACTATTGGGAGGAAACAGCAAGCAGGAATAGCCACCCCAATGTCTCATCAAGAGTGTATCACAGCCTATGTGTTATTAAAGTGGGGTATTTAGAAATGCTACGTGAGGGGAAATGGAATGGGAAAGGGAGTGACCAGGGGAAGAAGAAAAAGAAGAGATTGGATTTATACCCTGCCCTTCGCTTGGCGTCTCAGAACAGCTTACAATCTCCTTTCCCTTCCCCTCCCTACAACAGACACCCTGTAAGGTAGGTGGGGCTGAGAGAGTTCTTTTGAGGACTGCTCTGAGAGAACTTGACTGACCCTAGGTCACACCAACAGCTGCATATGGAGGAGTGGGAAATCCAGTTCTCCCAGATTAGAGTCCGTGCTCTTAACCAACAAAGCTGCTATGCCTAGGGTTGCCAACCTCCAGGTGGGACCTGGAGATCCCTCAGAATTACAGCTGAACTCCAGGTACTGCCTCCAAGTGTGTGGGGAAAGGAAAAAAATTAACGTCAGTCTTTAATGTCTTTTTTAGCCATTCCTATTGGAATATTTATTGATAGTGTTTATCAATTCCTATTGGATATCTTGGAAAAACCATGAAACCAGAACTCTTTTGGTGCATTTGCACATACCTCTCAATGGTACATAATTCTAAAATATTCTGAACAGGAACTAAGGAACTAAGTAGTTTGTTTTTGGCCTGTTCACTCAGGAATTGTTTTTCGTAACTTTTTTAGCTCAGAATTTTGTACAGACAATCATTATCACTGCTCTGTGTTGCCACTTTCAGGGGAAGGTGAGTGCCCACTAAAGACAACATTGGTACCTCATCCATATAACTTCCTTCCCGCATTTGCTGATCTGATGCCTCTCTTGACTAGTTTTATGCACCAGATGAAGTCTTTTTTTATTCATCCAGGCTTTGGGTTGGTTCATTCCTAATGCATGACCTGGAACTGACTGTTTTAAGTGCTGGCTGTATGTTTTTGATATTTCAAAGTTTCTAATGTTTTACTGTAGATTATTATTGCAATAAACTGCTTCAGAAGTGTTTAGCTAAAAGCACATGGAACAATTCTTTAAAAATATTTATTTAAAATATTTATATGCCACCTCTGTGAAATAATAGGTGTCTTCCAACAAAAGGCATGAATACAATGAAATTACAGTTATAAAATCAATGGAACAACATTAATACTAGCTAACTACTAAAACAGCAGTATACATAACTAAACATGGCTGTACAGAGTGTTGCACATCTCAGGGAAACCTGGATTCAAATCCTTGGTGAGTCATTAAAATTGCCAGGTGGCTTGGGGAAATTGTGGAGTTACCTCAGCCTGAGTTATCTCACAGGGTAGTTGTAACGGTAAAATGGAATAAACTCACTCCACCTCATGTCTCTTAGAAAGAGAAAGCATACAAATTGAAAAAAATTCTTGGAAAAAACCACCTATACTGGCTTTCTAATTGAGATTCTTAAACAGGGTGTTTGGTAAGAAGAAGAGGAGGAGGAGATTGGATTTATACCCCGCCCTTCACTACCCAAAGGTGTCTCAGAGCGGCTTACAAACTCCTTTCCCTTCCCCTCCCCACAACAGACACCCTGTGAGGTAGGTGGGGCTGAGAGAGCTCTTGACAGAAACTGCTCTTTTTCAAGGACAGCTCTTATCGGAACTACGGCTTGCCCAAGGCCATCCAGCCAGGTGCAAGTGGAGGAGAGGGGAATTAAACCTGGTTCTCCCAGATTAGAGTCCGAGCACTTAACCACTACACCAAACTGGCTCTCTTTTGACGTTAGTCAGAATACCTTTTATACTCATTTAGAACTGGATAGCTTTGAACTATCCAGGATTAAATGCAACACCACACTCCTGGAAATGAGAGACTGAATAAGATTTAAAGTCACATGATGCTGAAGAAAGAGAAGAGACATACTTACTTTGCAGCATGTATAAGATGTGTTGTCCCTGGGTCCCAGCCTTGCACAGGAATTTCTATCACCATTAAGTATTCTCTTAACAGCTTTTCTTTCTCCCTTTCTTCAGAATCAGTTAAAAAGTGGACCTTCAAGTCTTCAAACCTCCCTCTTTCACAATTAACCAGCGGGACTGCCTGGATCTCTGTGGATAGAAAAACAGCTTGTTACTGTGAAATCAAATGGGAACAGCCAGGAATGTGACAAGGCAGAGACCTGTGTAGCCTCTGCTGTCAAGAAAGCCCACCGAAATAACATGCATGGTTAAATCTAATGGACCACTGAAAAAAGTGGATGGAAACTAAAGCAGAGAAGGCTAAGGGCTGTGCAAAGCCAGATGATGAATTGTCCCAAACTGAAAGTTTTATAGAGAACCCTAGATAGGAATGCAATTATGATTATCATGCAGAGTGGAGAGGGCACAATGAACCATCAACACAGTACAGGGTATATTCTGAGACGTACCAGGGCCACTGTCCTTTAGAACAACCAGTGGCGTGAAGTGCATGCTATCATAGCCAAGGACAATGGGATATCGGTAACATTCTTCTGCAGGCCAATGGAGGGGCAAGTAAATCCCACCAATGTTCAGAGGGGAAAAACTTGAGCCTGATTCCAAACTTCTAAGCATTTTGTCTATTTAAGATAAAAGAGAATGGTTAGCCAAGGACAAGATTTCTATCTATGACAAATAATTACTGCTTCAATTTATTTAAGATAGTTTGAGAGGGTAGCTGTGTTGGTCTGTAATAAAACAGCTGGATTTGATTTCAGTAGCAACAAGCTTTGGGGGGGTATAATCTTTTGAGAGTCAAAATTCCCTCTGTCAGTTTCTTTAAGGACATGGCTCAATGCTAAAGAATCTACTTTGCATGTAGAAGGTCCCAGGTTCAACACCTGGCATCTCCAACAAAAGGTGATGTGAAAAGACCTCCATTTGAGAGCCACCGCAGGTGACAACTGACAATACTGAACTTGATTGACCAATGGTAGGAGATTTGGTATAAGGCAGCTTTGTGTGTTTACAAAACTGGGAAATTCCCAGTAGCAAAACAGCCATAGCTACAGGGCTAAATGATCTGAGACACACATCCAGCAAACAGCCAAGCTCATAAAGTTGTCATTTGCTTACTTCAGTCTTTACTAAACTGAAACATCCCCCATGTCACGACAGAATACAAGAAATCAAACTACTGGGTTACCTAGCTCTTACTGTCTCGGCCTGTAGTCATTCTCCAGGATTTCAAGCAGAGAAAGGTTTTTGGCAACAGCTGCCACCTCAGATCACTTAACTGGAGATGCCATGGAACTGAACCTGCAACCTTTGGTGTGCACAGGACCACTGAACCACCCTACCCACAAGGCATGGCATTTCTACAGTACAAAGACATTAACATTTTTGATCATCCATAATTTAGGTTAAGTCTGTGTAATATCATCATGCGGATGACGTGGAAAGCAGGAAAACATAAAACATTTATGTCTTATCAAAAAATGGCTTTGATGTGTACCACTGAATCTACAAATGCCTACCTGCAACAACTATGATTGGCCTTCTTAGGATGTTAACAAGGACAAAAATGTGAATTTCTTCTAAGGATTTATACTGAAGAACATTTTGGGCAACTGATGTTTCTGCAGATGCCATTTTGATGAGGTTGTCCCATTCTTCCTCCCAGTTCTAATGGAACAGAAAAGAAACAGATGTAAGCAATATCAGTTACTATGCAAGACCAAAAAAGGGTGCAGCCAAAGCTTCCCTTAAAAACATTTTTTCCGGTACTGTTTCTGAATAAGTTAATTCACATTATAAGCATTCCAGCTGTACAGCACTTGAAGGACTGATGAGTGGGATGACTGCAGATTATTCCAAGATGTACTTTTAATCAGAGCAGACCATTTGGACTTTCCCACCACCTTTATAACAGCCTAGCATATAAGCTTACAGTTATTACTGACTAGCCAGTCTGCCTGCCCACTCATATCTGTGTTAGTCATTTGTGGCATATCAATGGCTTGAAAACGAAAAAGACTCCATTGTTTTCCAATTTACAAAACTGGAAGCTTCGAGGTAACTCTTACATTTCTCAGGGAAAAGGTTATTTCCAAGCCTGCACTATTGTAATCTATGAAACCAGTCCATCACTTGATCCTTATTCCATCTTTCTCTAAAATGTTCCAGATAAGAAAGCTTTGGTCATTGTTACAAGGCAGGCAGTTAAGCTAGTGAGATCAGAAGACTTAACACAGAGTCTGATTCTCCTTGCATCCTCCAGCATGGAGAAGCTGAAAAAAGGAAGAAGCCACAGGCTGTATGGATTTCTTGATCGGAAGTCTATGCATATCTGTATGTGCTTAAATGAGAGCATAACTGCTTTTTTAAACTTCGTGGTAGGAGTTTTTTAAAATAGTTTCCCCTCCTCTCTAACAGGAAGGGATATGCCAACTTCTGGAGATGTGGGTGGTCCGTGGAAATAACCCATCTCTGGGGAGGTTACTTAATTTGGAAACTCCACAGTAGTGAAGCTCTTTGTTAATAAATTGGGCAATCCAGTAGAGTTAATGGACTAAAATGTTTTAATTGGGTGACAGCCCTGCAATTTTACTTTCTTAAGGTTGTTCCCATAATTGCCTCCCATCCTGTAATTACATACAGGAAATCATGATCAACCCAACCATACCAAAGTTTTAAACATTCTTTGTACCATAAATCAGACTGACTTACCCTGGTGTCATAGCAGAGCCCCGTTGCCACAAACTCCTGTGATTTCAAAGTCTCTCGTTGCCAGCGCAGTTTAAAGTTGCGCGTGTCAACTTCCCGGAGCGCACTAAACAGTGTTTTTCTCAGGACTAGATCAACATCTTGGATCCCCCACATATACTGCGATGCTGCATGCATGAGGCAATTTCCATCACCTGCAGAAAAATGAAAGGGGTCAATAAACATAAATTGAACTAATAAGAATATTTCAAGATTCTGTATGGACTATCTGGGCCCTTGGAACTCCCCAGATAGACTAATTAAAATGCTAGGAGAGGAAACAAATAGAAGGCAATGTGATCTATTTTTAATTCTCTGGATCCTGGGTGCGGTGGAGACATACCCTCCACCTCCATTTCACTAAACTGAACACAGTCTGGAGTAATTTAAAATTATGATGAGACACTGGATTTTTTTCAGGCCAATGCTCTCATGCGAGTGAAGTAGTGATCCTGCACGTGTGGAACTTTGCTAATGTACAGTGCTGATGGGATCCTGCTATACGGAGAAAACCAAGTGAATTGTTCAGAACATTGGTGATGAAGGAGTCCCATGCAGTTGGCAGATATAGAAACTGGCATAATAAAATAGCTTGATAGCTTTTCTTCAGACTGACATGTCAGAAGGAATAAACGCCTACCTATTTGTACCTATGGAGCAGGCACTACCAGTTCAGTTTTTGGTCATTTCCCAATGGCTAATATGCTGCTTACATTGTATTTAGTGTGGGAGGGACACCTTAGCTTTGAACACAACTATAAAGCTTAAGACAATCCATTACACTTATGAGAGATCTGGGGGGGATTTCCCTATTCCATTGCTGTTTACACTTGTTTAAGATCTAACACAACAGGTAGTGATCAAAAATACTCTCGTTCCAAGTTTCTTGGGGGGGGGGTCTCTTTCCAAAGTGTTCAAAGTAGATGTCAGTCAATACCATTAGCGCTGAGCTTTACAGGCACTGCATTTTCCTTCCCAGGGAAATTTCATCATATGGTAGAACAAAAGAGAAAGCAATGACTTATTTATCAGAAATTATCATTTTAAATTTTTCTTATATGTATATTAGGTGCTGTGAATATGAAAGCCAAAGTTATCTGGGAGAAAGGTGGGCCCACACACACACTTTCCTGACATCCTTAAAATTGATATTTTTCTTCTTGGTTAAAGGTACTGTTTAGAACGTTGACAGTTTCAGTGTTCCCTTTCCAGTATCACACACACACACACGTTTCTAACTCTCATGATTGCAGAGAAAATGGCCCCAATAATAATATTACAATGTGTATCCTAAGTAATATTCAGATGCCATGTTAAGCCGACATCAAGCCTGAATGTGTATGGATCAGCATGCTGCTGACCTTCAGTACTTTGCACAGAGTGTGATGAAGAAACACTGATTTAAAAACCAACTCCGGTTACTCACAATATTTGAATGCAGAAATGTGCAGTTAGTTTCAAATCAAGATTCCTTCATTATGTTCTTTGCAAGGAGGGAGGCCCATAAGCACACTGACATTCAGGCTTAATGTCAGCTCGACATGGTGTTTGAATGCATACTGCAGCAGCATGGTGAGCCTATTCCAGGAAACAGCCCTGTCAAACAGATCCAGTCTATAGTGCACTCCTGTTACAAAGCTTCTCTGGAATTATGTGACAGGCAAGGGGAACTGGTGTTTCAGAAAGTGACAAGGGCCACAGAAAGAATTACACAGATGTCCTGGAGTAGAAGCGGGTCCACAGAACGGTTAAAAACAGAAAGAGCCTTTGTTGGATTCTGGGACTGGGACAGTCAAGAGGAGGGAAGATTTTGACTCAAAAAACTAACCATCCTCATCTGACTTTTTGATTTTTAAAAGTCATTTTGTTATGCTGCAGTAGCACACTCAAGGTAACACACACTCTAAATATTACGCTAGCCATACATCACACACCTGATAAGACTGTGTTTTCTTCTTCAAATGGCCAAATGTCTGAACATAGATCCTTCCCTCCCCAGCATCAACAAAAAACAATCTAGCCCAGTATCAAGGGACAGATCCCTTCTGCCCATAAACAATATGCAAGCCCTATTGTACTAAAGTGCCTGCCGTTACAAATTCATCTTCAGGAAATGATTTAAAAGAAAGCAAATACAAAAATAAAATAAATGCAAGGATTTCAAAAAGCGTATGACATTGACTCCAGTGCTGAATTAGAGTCCCTTCGCTCAGCAAGAAGAAAAAATGCATACAAGTAGGACAATTATTGCATCCTGTTAAAATTTTCCCTTTGCAGAATCTAGAGCAAAGATAAGAGGTTTTTTTCTTGTGTGCGCTTGCTTTCAGTTCTTTATTGAGAACCACCAGTCCAAAATTCCCTAAGCAACACTTGGAATTCCCCAGTGTTAAGATATTTGACTAGCAATTGAGTAACAGCTATTGTACTTCTTGTTCTTATGCAGACATTTGAACTGTGAAGTACACACTGCTGGACTTTCCAAGTGGGTGTGGCTAGGCTAAGCTGGAATGCCTATTCATTATAGAAGCGAAATCTCTAGTCGGTGGATGTGGGAATTTTTTTTAATGACATGGTTTCAAACTTTCTTTTTTTTAAATCAACAACAATGTTCCCTCCTTGTATCCGCAAACATACATTCAGGACATGAATCACTCTGATTTCCACAATTCCCTGTAATCTTTTGTATACCTTTGTTAAAATTCCTTAAATGAAATCACAAAAACATTTATATCTTGCCTCTCAAAAATGACAGGCAACTACATATCCTCTAAAAACACATCTCTGATTGCAAGAACAGCCTATGGCAAGTATACTGACTAAATGAAAATTGCTTTTGCAAGTTCTCCTATTTTATTATTTCTTTATGGAACAAATTGTCCCCTCCCATATGTGCAAACCCTCTGATACCATTCTGCATGTGTGGTGGGGATCTCCTATATCTTGACACGTCCCCCTCCTTCCCAGCTCTCAGCTGAGATTGGCACACTGCCACTGTGCCAAATATACTGCAACGTGCCCATCCATTTCCAGTTATGTGAGATACTCCTGTTCCTAGAATGTAGAGAGAAGTCAATAGGGAAGGAACTGGGCTATGTAAAATGTCTACCATGATCCCCTCTGTGCTGGCACAATTGCATATACACAAAGCATTATATACGCACAGAGGAAGGAGTCGGGACATCCTCTGGAGTGACATTCCATATAACACAAGGTGTCATGGAATGAAATCCTGCCCCCCGTAGATACCTGGTGCACGAGTAGAAGTTCTTATCCCTTGTGCCTAGAAGATGTTTGATCTCACCCTATGACTGGAATTGTTTTATAAGGGATTTAGGAAATCACAAACCCACTTCTCTGCCTTCCAGGATTTCTCTCCAGAAGCCAGTACGCTAACATTTCCTTCCTGGCAAAAAATGCAGTGTTGTTAAGGCTGCATCTGTGATCACTTTCCTGTACTATGCACATGATTTAACAGATTAACAATGCAATCCTAACAGGGTTTATCTCTAGCAGTAATCCCCACTCTAATTTGGACTTCTTGGTACTACATTGTAAATTCCGCTTGCACATTTACAGTGGTATACACATTAGGGGGGAAAAGTATGTTACAAGGTTTTGAAATCAGAATCAATACAATTGACAACTGCTTGACTGATATCGAGATCTGATATGGAAGAAAACAGAGTGACACATACAGACTGATGATCTCCATCCATTTAAATTAATGCAAAAGAAATCTACCTATCTGTCAACTCTAACCACTGGCCTGGCAGTCCTCAAAACTCCTTGTGTTGTGTTCTCCTGGACAAGTGACATAATCACAATGTTTCCACAATCCAATTAAAAGGCTCTGATCCGCTACTTGGAATCTAATGATGGGTCCATATGTATGCTCTTCCCTTTGTTTTGTATGTATGTGCATTCTCATAACTTTGTTTTAGTCATGGTAAAATTTAGTTAATTGACAACACTTTCCACCATCAGTTCTATATCACAAATTTTAAAATTAGGATTCTGGACAATTTCGGACATAAGAAAACACAATAAACTACCCATACACTCTGTTTGTGGTAACTACAGGAATGTAAAAACAGGATATGCAAGTGATTTCCACATCAACTTTCCACACTTCTGACATAATGCCCGAAGCAGGAACGTGTGCATGTGCATTCCAGATGTGCATTTATCTCACATGCCTTCCCAAAGTATGAACTCCTGTTTCAGACATTGGAAAGTACAACATCACTGGAAAAAAAGTTCAAGTTTTGAAATTAGCTCACAACAACAGATATTATGAACTTTGGTCTGTAAGGCTCCAGGGATCAAGGCAAGAAAACATGAGAATACCATTTACTGTGGCTGAAACAATGTTAGTTACATCAATGTACAATTCATGGGCAGGTTCAATTTTTATTTGAATAGTTCCAAAAACTTGTAGACCCGTGTGTTTATTTTTTTAACGAATCATATCAAGTGGAGCTTTATAGGAGCTACCTATCAACTTGAATACTATCTGCATTAAAAAAAAAAAAACCCTTACATAATGAAAAAGCAGAATGAAATTGAATATGAATATGAATGGTTAAAATACATGCAGATCTCTGACCTTTTTAGGTCAGACAAAAGAAATTATGGTTTTAGAGAGGAAAAAAATGAAATGGAAAAGGTATGGGAGAGTGGAGGGGGAAAAGATATCTCTAAAATGTATAAAGTGTTGTTAAAATGGTATACAGAAGATGAGACTGTGAAAGAGCAAATGTTAAAATGGGCAAAAAAAAAACCCTTACAAATATTTGTAAATAAATGTAACATCCTCTGCAAGGCTCTTAAATAACAAAGCTTTCAAAAGCAGTTCTAGAAGTCACATCTAATCAATTTAAATCTACTTCAAAACTAACTGCAGAATATACTTCCAGGTGGGCAGCTATGTTGGTCTGAAGCAGTAGAACAAAGTCTGGGTCCAGTGGGGCACCTTTAAGATCAACCAAGTTTTATTCAAGGTAGGAGCTTTCGTGTGAAGTGTGCGTGTACACAGAAGCTCATACCTTGAATACAGCTTTGTTGGTCTTAAAGGTGCCACTGGACTCAAACTTTGCAGAATATACATACCTAATGGCCTGGGCATGCTTGCCTGGATGACCCACACTACCCTGATCTTGGTAGATCTCAGAAGCTAAGCAAGGTCGGCCCTGGTTAGTACTTGGATGGGAGACCACTAAGGAATTCCAGGGTCACTATGCAGAGGCAGGTCATGGCAAACCACCTTTGTTCATCTCTTGCCTTCAAGAACCCCACGGGGGGGGGGGTCAACCATAAGTTGACTGCAACTTGACGGCACTTTCCTCCACCACCACCAATGGCTTGGGCATGCCTGATGGGATTTCTGCTTTTAAATACCAGAGCTTGGTGCCAAGTTACAAACTACTCTGGAAACTCCCAGCTCTCTCCACAGGGGTTTGCCATAAAGCCTAGTGAACTGCTGACTAAGAAACACAAACCCTCAATCCCCCGTCTCCAGATTCTTTGGATCTAGGCTGCTTTTGGACCATCAGGGCTTATTTATTCTAGGTTACCTGCTATGAATGACCCGGTGTTCCCATTGGCTCTTACTTAGACTGTATATTTCCCAGGCAGGGCCCTTGTCCTTTTTTGTAATCTGCTCGGTACCAAGCACAATAAAAATTTAAAAGCAGTGATAACAGAAATACTTTCCCTCTATTTATAATCATCTTGGAATGATATAATCAGAGGTCACTTGAACAGAGGATGGAGAGAAGCGGGAATTGCTAAGTCCCATAACATAACCTTGCATATCTGGCTGAGTGACCTAGTTTTACCATAATTTGCTACAACTGGAAACAAGAACATTCTGACATTATAATATATCTAAATGGATCTTTTTTTTTTTTTTTTTGCACTGTTCTAAAACTGCCACGAGAAATGTTTCCTGTTAGGATAGCTATGACATCAACTACTACTTGAAATTTGAGACTGATTCCTCTCTGCTATTTTAAATCTATTTAATAACTGATTTTGCAAAAACAAAAAACAAAACCCAAACCCACAGAATTACCCAGTGCATTTCAGAAGGCAGCTAATTCCAGTTCATATTCATAGGGTTCATCTGTTTTTTTTAACAAAACTGGATTTTCCATTTATTCATGTTACAATTAATCTTCTGCCATTGAAGCACTTACTGTCAAGCTTGCTTAAGCAAATCCAAGAATGCAAGTATTCATGTAGGATTGTGCAAGGTCAGCTGTTTGTGTGGAATGATTTGACACACAGTTGTGGTGATTTACCCCCCTTAGCACAAGCCAGGTGTGGCTACGGCCCACCTCACATTAACACAAGAACTGCAATCACGACCTCATGTGAAATCACACAACTGCCACCTTGTAGAGTGACACAGGGTGTCCTTTGCAAGCAGCTGATAAAAGTGCAGATGGCCTCTCAACTGTTACACCAGTTTTTTTAAAGTTGTCCTTTAGAGAATAGGCTCAAATTAATTGTTGAAAATTCCCCAAAATGAGATAATTCCCATGTACAGATATCCTTGGAGGATGGGCAGAGTAATCTATGGACTAGGGGTAATACTGCTTCCGTTTTCCAGGGCAGCTTTGGATAGGGAAATGCCATTGAGCAACCGAATAAACCAAAGCTGTCAATCCAGACACTGAACCAGAAGTACAAAAAGAGGAAGTTGAAGTCACTTCCTCTCTGCATGCTTCACTGCGATATCCACAGCCCAGACAGGAACTCATAAAGCCACTTTGCTCTTTTTTTGCACAGCTGTTCAGAATTCCAAGAAACAACCCCTTCATAATTCTAAAAAGAGCCTTATCAAAACAAAATTCAAATAAGTTCCATTGGGAGATAATATATTGGGAATGGTAGGGAGAGGAAGATATTCAATTTGTGTTTTAAAGTATAAGCTGGTGTGCGGATCTTATGGTTGAAATGCGGCAGACAAATGTTACAAGTAAACAATAAAAACTGTTACGTGTCAAATGGCACAATAAGCTTACTCACCATTGGTCTTCAATGGGACAAGTTTCTTAACTTCTCTACACCAGTTCAGCTTCCTTTGTCGTTCCAATGAGGTTTGGGATACTTGGTCAATAAGGGCTTTCTGGAGTATCTTCTGAAACTGAGGGCAGAATTGGCACATCCTGAACAACTCTACAGTATACCTGTGCATACTTTTAAAATGAATGATTATTCCACTAGTGCACTTGACAAGGTCTTCAGGCATGCTCTCCCTTATCTTCACAGCTTTCAACATGTTGCTCAAGTATAAAGCTTGAGGAATGGTTTGCGGGCCAGCCATTTTGTGAGAACAAACCTACAAGTGGGAATGGAAAGAACACAAGTAAGAGAAGGATGTTTAGAACGCTCATCATCCCAAAGCAACAAATAGCACAAGATGTCTTTATTCACAGTTTTACTTTACAAGACATTTTCTAAGCACCTTTTCCAGTACACGTGCTGGGGAAGAAATGGGCAGTTCCTACGAAATGGAAATCATTAAACTGTTATACGCACCAGTCACATTTGATAATGGCTTGCTATAAATGCTAACCAAACAGGCTCCTACTTCTCAAAGAGAAACCTGTGTTGGAGGATTGCCCTTTAGAGTATGACAGACTAGAGATATTACACTGGGGTGTGCCCAGCAATGCAGAACTGGAGACCCAGGATTACTCAGTTGTAAATCTATCCAGATGACAAAGAATTTCCTCTTAGCTTAGAATCCCCCCAATATGTTTCCATTCCATATTCCCCTTGTGATCAAACTGAGTGGTAACTCTGGGGATTTTTTAAATGTTTGCCTTTTCACATGGCATAGCTTGCTCGCTTGAGCCATCTGCACTTAACTACAGCAGTTTACAGTATGCAGCACAAAGCAACTTATTGGTTCTGGCTCTTTTTGTACTGCAGACTGGATAATATGCTACCGACTGGTGTTCCTAACTGAGTCAGATACTCTTCAAGAACATTCCAGCTTACTGGTTTGTAGACCAGGCTCCTGATTTGTGGACTAATGAGGAAAGCCAATGAGGACTACGATCTTACACTGGATGCATTCACCTTGCTTTTCTCTAAGCTTCCTTTTCTCACAATTTCCCGACTAAATTATCCCCACCCACTCCCAACCTTATTAAGTAAAACTGCTTCAACATGTGAACTCATGAGCCTCCATTATATGGAGTCTGTCAAAGTCAGTGTTGGCTACTCTGACTGGCAGAGGCTCTTCAGGATCTGCTTCATCTAAGCAAGAATGTAGCAGCTATCAAACTATTACTGTTTTCAAAAATATATCTTTTTTTAACTATGTAAACACCACTGGTTAATAGTAAGAATGTTGAAATATATTTACTAGATGACCACTATTACTGTTTTCAAAAATATATCTTTTTAAACTATGTAAACACCACTGATTAATAGTAAGAATGTTGACATATATTTACTACCCTGTTTTCCCCGAAAATAAGACCTCCCCGATAATAAGGCCTCCCCCGAACATAAGGCCTCCCCGATAATAAGCCCCACCGAAGCTACCGTAACTCTGGACTCTGGTCTGTAGCGGTGGAAGCCGCTGCGCAGCTCACTGTTGGCCGCCGCGCAGTCGGAGCAGACAGGAAGTGGGAGGTCTCTTTTAATCAGAGAGCCCGCGCCGCCATTAGGACAAGCTGCCGCCTGCTGCTCGCTTTGCCCTGACGGAGTGTACCGTATTCTTCTTCATAGAAAAATAAGACATCCCCCGAAAATAAGACCTAGCGCATCTTTGGGAGCAAAAATTAATATAAGACACTGTCTTATTTTCGGGGGAACGGTAGATGACCGCAAAAATATGGCACAAAAGAATTCCAAAAGGGCCAGCTGAGTTGGTTCTTGTTGGCACATGGCCCCAATGGTAGGCTGCCATTTACGCTGTCCAGATTGTCTCTGTCTGGATACAAACAGGATTTTACAAAGGAAAAATTCAGACACTAGCGGGAATTTCAATCCCTCTGGACATTGGGCAACAAAGTTGAAAGCTGCCATACTTCACACAAAATTTTTTTAAGAGACACTCCTTTGCTGAGCTATACCATTGGAATTTATGTGCAGATTTGAAGCTATCCGTTCTGGGTTCAACAGAAACTGGAATTGTCTAACTCACTATGGAAAGCATTTGTCTTTTTAGATGTTTACGTACATTATTCCTCTAGCTTTGCTGATTCACTACCAGTTGGGAGGTGTTCACATACTTATTCTAATCAGATCTTTTCACAATTTTGATGGGATCTGGTTTTCTTTCCTGTACCTCTTGATGTGACAAGTATATCATTTGGATCCCTGGCCCCCTGACTGATTTTGTACTAACATCTCCCCCCCCCCCCTTCTCTTCCTTCATCTACGGGGTCTCTGGTTTATGCAACAATAAATGAAGTCTTCACCCACCACTATAATTTTTGCTACAGCTCCAGAAAATGCCATGTCTTTTCATTATTCCATGAACATTCAGGCCTGTTAAGACTGCAGAAATATATACATATTTTAACAGATATGTACGTATTTCCCTCTCTTCAAAGTAGAGGTCTGATCTTCCAAGCATGTAGTCAAGAGTGAGGAAATTCATATGAATATAGGGTGATTACATCACTGAGATACCATGCTAAGGCCTACAACAGGTTGTTTCCAGTATTAAGTAACAATGGAGTATCCAATTTGTTAAGCTCAATCAGAATGCTAATTAACACTCCTGCTCTGCCAAAAGCAACCCTTCGCTTCCATGCAACTTCAACAGTCATCTGAGAATAACCACACTTACTCAGGAATAAATCCTGCGTATTTCAACTGGGACAACCTTCCAGAGAAAAAATGCTTAGGTTTGATTGAATGAATGAATAACATGCTGTGGAGTGCCAACTGACTCATGGTGACCCTATCTGTGGGGTGTTCAAGGCAAGAGGTGAGCAGAGGTGGTTTGCCATTGCCTTCCTCTGCATAGCAAATGCATACATTTCACCACATCACCTAAAGAAATAACATCCAAAGGACTGCATTAAAATGTAATTATTTATTTACTTCACATATAGCCCACTTCCTCCACAGTGGGGGCCCGAAGTAGCTTACAGGCCCCAAGGTCACCAACAAGCTGCCATGGCAGAGCAAGGATTCAAAGCTCGGTCTCCATGATCCTAGTCGAACACTCTAACCACTACACCATGCTGGGTCACTACTTCAGTAGTAGTAATAATTCACTCGTTCAGTAGGAGTGATAATTTTATTTTTTATTTTAAAAAGTCACACCTTGCTAAGGAGGTAAAATTACCATTTTCAAGCCATTTCAACCACTTTTCAGCTGGCCACTGCAGCTGTGCCTTTAACAGAAGACTGATGTGCATCATTAGCTGGTGACTTATCTCCTCACTCTGAAAAGCTTCACCTCCTGATTTCTTCATGTCTCTCTGGGATCAGTATCACCAGTCCAGTCCATTTTTCTTCAGTACAGCCTCCTACCCTTATTCTGACATACTGCTTGAATCATGGTATTACATGCAGAAAATTCTAGATATGGATCAGTAGTTCTTTGGACTCCACGGCAGGGGCAAAAGTTGCCTGAATCCAATGAGTACAAATAAGTAGAATGATCTCTTTATTGCAGTGGCTATCAATGTTTCTGTTAAGTGACTCAACCAGAAGAACTGAATCTTTGTTATATCATTCAAATCTTCATTTGCTACCCTTCACCTCCTGCCCTGTACTAAACCTGCCTCCACCGCCTATGGCTGACAAGCTGATGACCTCCATACAAGGTCTTGACCCCACAGTTTAGGAATTCCTACTTCAAATTTATCTCCATGAGGATGAAGCTCTGATTTTGATGCAACCGTTCACATTTAGATCATGAAAACCTACATCTTACAACGTCATCCTATGAATGTTTACCTGGAAATAAGTTTCCCTGATGTAAATGGGACTTGCACTTATGTAGGTGTGCCTAGCAAGGCAGCCTTAGAACAGCAGATTGGCTTACAAGTGCTTTATAAATGGGAGCTCTAGATAGAATTGTTTTGGACCAGTTCTGAAGGCTGCTTCCAACATGGCATTTCTATGTCCATGTTGTGAAAAATATGTATTGATCAACAACGTGATTCTCTGTAATACTGAAATGGCCAAATATGCCTGAGACTGGTTCCAAATGTCATACTTTGTGTTTGACCACTGCAAAACCACACAGGCTACTTCCAACAAAGTGTTGTCAAAATGCAATTACAGAAATTTCTTCAGGTTGCATGTCCCCAGGACCAACTGCCTGAGACCAATTCCTGCTGTAGCCCACTAGCCAGGAAACAGTGATGCAGGATCTGGCCTGTAATCCAGTCTGCACTCTTTTACTTATTTATTTTAGGAAAGCAGTGGGGGTACAGAAAATAAAAAAGGGGGAAGGGTTATACAACATAATTACATTTGTCAAAGACAATAATGTAGTACATAATGTACAGGACGGAGAATATTTTCCCTTTCATCCCCTTCGTTATCATTTTAAGGTATTATCTATAAAATACAATAGTTCTTATTTCTGTTGGTGTACAACTGTATTCATCATTTAAGTTTTAAGTTTCAAACTTCATAACTAATCTATTTTGACAAAAACACTGGTTTCATCATTACTACGTATACAATATAACATATTTTCACCACTTTACATATTCATTAGAACCTTTGATAAGTAGTATATCACAGTGTAAAACAAAGTCATACATAGAGAACACATTTGTATTTGAGATATTACATCTGAAACAAATTTTAATTCTACAGTCTGCACTCTTGACTCTCTTTAATGAAGAACTGGAGATTCATTAATGTAATCCCTGTTGGCAGGTGTTAAAATTATAATCAACTGGAGGGACCGGTTGCTGCTTTAAAACTGCTTCTTGAAAAGTAGGACAAGTCCAGATGTAGAATTCTTAACTGACAATAATCTCAGCTAGCATCTATCTCAAAAGATGTTTTACCATCAATCTGATATGTGTGTACATGCTTTTTCCTCCAACTAATCTCAGCTAGCATCTATCTCAAAAGACATTTTACCATCAATCTGATACATGTATACATGCTTTTTCCTCCAATGTTCATTTGTTGTTGTGGAATAATCATTCTTCTTAAAAGTGCTGTTGGCTTTACTTAGCATTTGCTGTAGTGTACGACATGACACATTCCTCTTAATATCTTATGAAAACTTATTTTTAAAAGTAGAAATAATACACAAGTCATAACTGCTTGCAATCAGCTGTCATACAGTCACGCAACTTTAAGCAACAAGCAAGTATTACTTGTGTGTAGATGTATCTGGGGTTTACTGCTAGGACTTAATCTGTGATCGAAGTCACCCGCAGAATCTGTTTTCAGAAATAGATCTGAATCCTAGGTTGCTTCCCTATTGTGTAGACATTTGCAGAGCCAACGACTGACCTGAGGAATATAATTACCGTAGCATCGCTGGCAGTTAACCGGAACAAATTAAGATTAAAAAATAAATAAATAGATCGCATTTCATCCTTGGCGACCCTGGCTAGAAACGCCCAAGTTCGCATGCACCTCTTTTTGGGACCGGCACCTACATTCCAGACAAGGCCCGAGGCAGCCATCACGAACAACCCAAACCCTCTCAAAAATCAAAAAAGCGGGGCGAATTACTTACTCGGGAGACAGGCAGGTCGAGTCTGCTAATAATCCTTCTTAATACGAATGTTCCAGGCTTCAGCGAATGCAACGCGAGGACCCATGAATGTCCCTCGAGGTCCGAAGACCACAGCTGGCTTTTGCTGCAAATCCCCTCTGCCGGTAGGGCTCCGATCGCTAGGAACCTTTGCCTGGGCTTCCCTTTCCTAGTGCCCCCCCCGCGCCGTTCCTGCTGCTGGCTAGAAGCTGGAATGAGATTCCACCAGTCTGGTGATTCCCTTAGCAGTTTTAGTGGGTGGGGGGAGAGACAGGGCTGGGGATTTCCATGTACACACACACACACACAACACACATAAGGGCTAGGGACTTTCCGACATGTGACACCGGCTGCACCCAGAACAGCAGCTGCTGGAACCCGGGCACAAAAGTGATTGGACAGACCCTCTAGGTGGCGCTGTGTGAGCAGAGAGCCTCGCGGATGCGCATGGGAGCACGTGACCGCAGTTGATTCCCCCCTCCTCCCTGTTTGCATCATAATCACGCCGAAATGACCTCGGGAAATCTTTCTTGGCTTTTTAGACTGGGGTTCTCCTCGTATGAATCACCTTTAGCCCTAAGAGAAGACTGACTTTTCCCACTTAAGGATTTCTTTTCCTTCCGCTCAATCTACTGGCAAGTGAGGCTCTTTCCCAAAGCAAAGTGGGGAAAGGAGAGAATGTCTTTGTTTTCCTGACCTAATTGCATTGCATAACCCCAAATACGTAGGAAAAGTGCTATTAGATATCACTGGAGTGTTATTTATAATCACATGCAGCTACTATGGTGCTGTTAGGCTTGTAAGGTTCTGAGAAAATGGTCAGCAAGGTGAATAGCACTCTGAAGGTGGGACTGGGTCATATGGTTGCCATCTCTGGGCTGGGAAATTCCTGGAGTTTTGGAGGCGAAGCATGGGGAAGATGGGGTTTACGGGGAAGACTTTGGAAGGCTGTAATGCCATGGGGAGTCCATTTGCCAAAGCAGTGATTTTCTCCAACAGAACTGATCTTTGTAGCCTGGAGATCCCAGAAGGAGGTTGGGAACCATAGTGGGGAAAAGAGGCAAAATTCCGTATCAAGATCCAGCAGGCTGTTACTGTACCTGTTCAGACTAAATGGCAAATTTGGTATGGACACCTAGTGCACAGGTCCCTTTAAAAAATTATCACATTGTCACTCAGTATGTAGGGCCAACCAACTGGCCAGAGGGGACTTCAGGTGTATCTTCATAGCCCTTTTCAGATATACTAAAGAGGGAGATAAATATTTGTACTAATTTTTTAATTAAAACATTTCTACCTCACCTTTTCTCTTGGCTCAAGGCAGTTTAAAAGTAGCTGTTAAAATTACATTTTAAAACCAAATAAACAGCCCAAATACCTTCCTCCCTCACAAAAAAGATACCTGTTGTTCATACACACCAAAATGCAAAGCAGGCAAGATAACAGTACCACTGGAATGAATACATACAATCTTTGTACACACACTTTGAACCTACGTGGCTCTGTGTCACTGAGAAACCTGCTTTTTGGGGGTTTCTAGTTGAGGAGAGAGGCCTACATATTTACAATTAGACGTGCATAGACCCCCTAGGATAACTATGAGAAAGTTGGGGGCAGAACTTGTGTCCATGATCCCTCTTGCTCCCAACATGCATTTGTTCTGCCCAGTTAGAACTTCAGAAAAAAGCTCCTCTGTGCTTGGAACACAAGAAGAGAGAACACTCCCCCACCCATTCTTTTGAAGTGGTTCAATAGGTCTCAAAAGCACAGAGAAAAGAATCACTAGGAACTTCGACTGATTTCCATTTCTCTCAAAATATCTCTATGTGCAATTTTAAAATAGTCCTAAAATAGCAGTGATGAATGAAACAGTACCTAAGAGATTCTCTGCTGTGCACAGCTATTAAGAACTGGTCTGCATCTGACAACCCAATCTAGTTTATTATTTAAGGGGAATATAGCCAAACCATACCCCAAATTTTAACCCTAATTTGGTAAGCAGGCCAGATTTATGTTGTTCTTTTCCACAGGCAAATTCCACAATGTATCCATATTGCTTGACACAACTTAGTTCATAAGCAAATATTTCCAAATAATTTGTTCAATTTGTTTGAACAGAATTTGACTTCTTTTGTAAAATTTGGATTAGCATTGGTACAGTATTCACACTCCATCCTAAGAGGTCCCACATAGCTACTGAGTTACACTGATCAGCATAAAAAATGTTTTTCTTTTTAATTCAGCATATATGGATGCATATACATAGGATTTTCTCTAGATTCCCATTTTGTGTGTGAACTCAAAAATAAGAGTTAAGGAGAATAAAAAATAAGTTCATCTGTTGGAGGATAGCCTTGTGCCAACAGCACACCTTAGATAGGGTGAATGTTACCTTGGCTGAAATGCAGCATCAACAAAGCAAACTATGGTTTGCACCTGTCCTGCGAATTACAATTCTGAACCACAGTTTGTTCTTTTTCAAGAATCCTGGGAAGCTATTGAGAAAAGCACTTTTAATCTGGCTCATCAGGGAACTTGTGGGTGGCTGCAGGTGGAACATCCATATGGATGCTCTGCCCATAATCAATACAGGAACGGGTGGAGTTACATTCTTCATTTCTTCCTCCCTTTCAGCTTTTTAAAGAACTTTGTTACTTTGCATGCTGAGCTGCAGTGTACTTTTACACCATTACTCAGCGGGAAGGGCGGGAAGTAGGATGTTGTGTAGGGGGCCCTGGCACAATTATCACTGGGTTGGCACTTCTGTGTCAATGTGATGGAGGGAAGGGGGGAAGGGCAGGGAAGAGGGTGGTGACAACAATGACCAGTGTGGTCAGGATATGTGGATGTAATTCCTGCCCAGTTCCACACCACTTGCTGCTGCTATTGCAGCAGAGACACATTTTGACAGCCATGGTTTGCAGAGAATAGATGTAACAGCAAACAAATTACTAACTAGAGTGTAGTCCATGAGGGAAGAAGAAAGAAGAGAAGAGGAATCATGCAAGCAAGCCCTTTCATGCTTCAAGGTTAATTCATACAAGCCTTGCAATCCTGCATAGGACCTGTTCAGGATGGTTGGTAAACAGGTGTATCCAATTCTTGAATATTGCATAGTGCAGGTTCCCACCATGAAACCTTCACTAAATGCTCACAGGAGGGGTTATTCCTGATCTGTTTTAGGCTGCTTTCACACATGCCAAATAATGCACTTTCAATCCACTTTGCAACTGGATTTTACTGTGTGAAACAGGGAAAAACACTTGCCAATGATCACTAAAGTGCATTGAAAGTAGATTGAAAGTACATTATTCAGTGCGTATGAAAGGTATTTTTTTCCTAAAGAGCAGAAGGAATGAACCGTTGGCTATGACTAAGGAAATTACTTACTATGAAGTAATGGATGAGGCACTGCTGCTCAACCAATGATGAGGCTGCTCAGAAAGTGAAACGGGATGTCAATATTGATACAGTAAATTATGAAATGTAGTATACAAACATGTATAACTACATTCTGATACTTCAGTATGCTGAAAAGCAAACTGCATTAACAGATGAAAGGGGTTATTCTACAGTAGAATGACTTGTTAGAACAGTCATTATTGTCCTGACTCCCAGTTCTTAACTATCAAAAACAGAACTGCTACTCTTAGGTCAGCAACTGAATGTCCTGGAAGGTTAAAATGTTCCCCCACTGGTTTTTTAATGTCGTGGTTTCTAATAGCAGTAGAAAAAGTAAGAGTCCAGTAGCACCTTTAAAGACTAACACATTTTGTGGTAGAGTATGTGCTTTCGTGAGTCACTGTTCACTTCTTCAGGCTTATTTCCATTTATTCTTCGCATCCTCTTGAACTGAATCCTCCTGTACCAAACTGAGACCTAGGTTTCCTGTCTCATTACCAGTGCTGATATCTCCACACTTACTACCCCTCTGCATATCGCACCAAATCCAGTCACGCCTGCTATTGCCATTCAGCATCTGAAATAATCTTTATAAAGTTTATATCTCTTGTGTTACATTTATTGGCACACATGGCCTGGCCCGACAGTGAAATTTATGTCAGATCCAGCCCTCATAACAAATGAGTTCAACACCTCTGATTTAAACTCTTAGGTATAATAATTGCACTTTTTTATCTGGTATCTGTTTTCTATACATGTTCCTTATTTCACAAAGTCTAAGCATTTATTTTTCTGGCTTCTGTTCTCATTGAGGCTTGAATAGCTGTGTACCATAATTAATACAAGCTGTAATTAAATATTCTCTAATTTAGTTGCTGTTGCACTTCTTTCAAGCCAGTGAACATATGAAGCTACTTTATAGGGAGTCAGTCCTGTGGACCATCTAGCTCAGTATTATCTCCTTCAACTGGCAGCAGCTGTCCAGGATTTCAGATAAAGAAAGCTGTTTCCCATCACCAGCTGCTTGAAGATTCTTCAGCTAGGGAAGGAGTATTTTGCATGCGTGACATGCCGCTAAGACCTCATCCTCCCCATGGTCGTTCTTTTTTGTTTGTTTGTTTGTTTGTTTAAGATAAATTTTTATCGAGTATAATACAAGCATTACAATTTAAAGTTTGACATGGTCTTCTGACTGGGGGTGAAAACTTAACTAGCTAGAGGTCCTTGCCTTTTAATAGACTTATTAAATTTAGGTGTATTTACATATTACATAAGCTTTAGCTTACAAAGATTTGTGTACATATCCATTAGCAAAATCATTTTGAAGACTTCTACTTCCTGAACTGCCCTGGGAAAAGGCAAAAGTATTATTCATTTCTCAGGAAAGAGAAAGAAAGGAAATCCCTTCTTACTGCAATAGCACTGGTCATCACTCAGTTCAAGTGTTTTCTCTTCCAGGCATCATTTGGCAACGTTGCTGCTTTTCCTGGCTAAGGATGACTACTGAAGAGAAATGCTCTGGCTTTGCACAGGGGATACAAGGAAAAATTCCCTAAAATACTGGTATTTGCCATTTTTACTGTTGTCACGGCTCAGGTGGGGTGTCACCTGACGCTGCCACCACTCTGGATTTAGGATCCCTTGAGAAGGCCCAGAGCACCCTCCCAAGACCTTCAGACCTCCCTTTTGGCCGAATAATAGGTGTGAGGACCAGGCAGAGTGAACAATGAAAAGGTTTATTTTATAGGAGGTGAAACAACAAGGTGTAGAATAACAG